CCTCTGCCTGTGGCTCTGCCTCCTGCTACAACACCCTGGGCAGCTTCAAGTGCGTTTGTCCCTCGGGCTTCGACTTCGACCAGGCCTTCGGGGGCTGCCAGGACGTGGACGAGTGCTCGGCCGGGGGCAGCCCCTGCAGCTACGGCTGCTCCAACACGGACGGGGGGTACCTGTGCGGCTGTCCCGGGGGCTACTTCCGAGCGGGACAGGGGTAAGGAGCGGCCACCGGGGCCTCCCCGGCTTCTCCTCGCCCATCCCCACACCCTGCTGGTCCCAGGGCTGCCAGCAGATGCTCTGTGGATACACCCAGTGCGGGATGGGGATTAATTAATGAGTTAATTAATGAGACCACCTTGCTGAGGTGTCAGGCGCGTCCTGTGCCGGTTCCCAGCCCCACACGTGATCCTGCGGGTGTTTCCCGCACGGAGAACCCGGGCGTGGTGACGTTCCCTTGGATTCCTGGATCTGAGCTGGCTCTCTCTGCTCCTCTGCCACCAGCCACTGCATTTCTGGCTTGGGATTTGGGAAGGGTCCCTACCTGCCTGCGCCCCAGGAGGAGGATGAGGACAACCTGCTGTCCCCCGAGACCTGCTACGAGTGCAAGATCAACGGGTACCCCAAGAGGGGCCGGCAGCGGCGCAGCGTCAACGGCACAGAGAGGCACCAGGTGAGAGATCCAGGGCGTCCTGCAGGAGCTGGATCCCTTCAGGAACAGAAGCCTGGAGTGGATCCCGTTCCCTCAGTCCAGGCACGGCCAGTGGCTCAGCCATATCTCCCCGGGTTTGGCATCTCCAAACCCTTCTTGTGAAGCCAAGGAATAAAGCCCACGTTTCCTGTCCCTGGAAATGTCCAAGGCCAGGCTGGACAGGGCTTGGAGCGACCTGGGATAGTTGGAGGTGTCCCAAGGGGCTGGAACAGGATGAGCTTTAAGGTCCCTTTCAACCCAAACCATTCCATGGTGCTGTTCCTCAGAGGGAGCTCTGGCCTCTGTCCAAAACTCTCCCGGGAATTTCAGGAGAGGTCATTTTAGGGCTTGGAAGGAGAATGGTCCTGAAGTTATCGATCCTCCCCAGGGGTGGGGCAAATCAAACCCAGCTGCCCCATCCCTGAGCTTTCCCTGCAATCCCTGAATTCCCGGAATGTCCCCTGGCAGGAGCACGCCGTGAACTTGGCCAGCATGGACGTGGAGGCGCCGCTGTCCATGACGCTGAACCTGTCGGAGCTGGCGCGCAAGGAGCACATCCTGGAGCTGCTGCCGGCCGTGGAGCCGCTGGAGAACCGCGTGCGCTACACCATCGCTCAGGGCAACGAGGAGGGGCTGTTCCGCATCCACCACAGGGAGGGGCTCAGCTTCCTGCACCTGGGCCGCAAGAAAATCCCGCCCGGCACATACCTGCTGGAGATCGTGAGCGTGGCGCTGCCCCGCCGGAGGGAACTGCACAAACTCGAGGCCGACAACCACCTCGACTACTTGGCGGGGGAGCTGGGCCAGGCACTGAGGATGAAGCTGCAGCTCCAGCTCTACTAAAGCCACGAGAGACCCCCCAGTCCCACCCGACAGCGCAGCCCTGCCCCTCGCCACCCACCCCGGGAACAACGGGATCCTCTCCTGCCACCGCCGGGACAGCCATGGGAAATGTTCCTCTGGATCAGCCACGGGAAATGTTCCTCTGGATCAGCCATGGGAAATGTTCCTCTGGATCAACCAAGGGAAATGTTCCTCTGGATCAGCCATGGGAAATGTTCCTCTGGATCAGCCATGGGAAATGTTCTTCTGGATCAGCCATGGGAAATGTTCCTCTGGGATCACCCACGGGAAATGTTCCTCTGGATCAACCACGGGAAATGTTCCTCTGGATCAACCACGGGAAATGTTCCTCTGGATCAACCAAGGGAAATGTTCCTCTGGATCAACCAAGGGAAATGTTCCTCTGGATCAACCAAGGGAAATGTTCCTCTGGATCAATCAAGGGAAATGTTCTTCTGGATCAGCCATGGGAAATGTTCCTCTGGGATCACCCACAGGAAATGTCCCTCTGGATCAGCACCCTCTGGGGCTGCTCTGCTCCAGGGGGTGCCTGAGCCGAGCCCACAAGGCCGAGTCGGAGCACAAAGGTTCCAAACTCCAGAGGTTCTCCCTTCCCTCTGCTCCCCCCCGTCCCCCTTATCCAGGACACTCGGAGCTGGGGAGCCGGCTGTTCTCCAAGGCCACATCCCAGGAAAAGTGAGGGGGGCTGGGGGCGGCTCTGGGGGGGAGCTGTGGCTCCGTTGGTGTCCGTGCATCTCCCAGCAGCTCCTGCTCCTCCTCAGGATGGTGCTGCAGGAGCCATCCCAACTGATCCCAGTTCCCAGGATCAGAGGTGCTCAGTTCCCGGGATTAAAGGTGCTCAATTCCCAGGATTAAAGGTGCTCAATTCCCGGGATTGAAGGTGCTCAATTCCCGAGATCAGAGGTGCTCAGTTCCCAGGATCAGAGGTGCTCAGTTCCTGGGATTAAAGGTGCTCAATTCCCGGGATCAGAGCTGCTCGATTCCCGGGATTAAAGGTGCCAATTCCTGGGATTAAAAATGCTCAATTCCCGGGATTAAAGGTGCCAATTCCCGGGATCAGAGGTGCTCATTCCCACGGAACTGCCTCATCCCCAGGCCCGAGGTGCCCGCAGCTCCCGGGAGCTGCTGCTGGTTCCTGGCCGGCGTTCTGCACTGTATCCATCCACCCTCCCGTATTTATGGCAAACCACCAAGGGAATGCTCGCTCGGTGTTGTCAGGAGTGCATTTTCCTGTAGCTTTACATTTTTTTGGCGGGGTGGGAATTTCTCCTGGTTCGCTGCCGCCCAGGGGTGGGGGATGTGTGTGTTTACTGTATCGGGGCTCCAGGCAAACTTGAAAACTCTTCAAAGCAGCTCCAGACTCTGGATTTTACAAGAGTCCCAGAGCTTGTGACAGGATGGGTGGCCTGATGTTTGGGATTGTTTTTTTTTTTTGTTGTTTTTTTTATTATTATTTTTGGTTTGTTTTTTTCCAACAGGTGCTTTTTTTTTTTAAAAAAAAAAAAAACCAAAATCCAAAAAGTATTAATAATAATAATAATAATAAATTAGCAGAGCTGGGTTTGTGTGTGTGTGTTGAGCCAAAGTCTCAAAGCTCAAGGTTTCCTCTCCTCCTCTCTGGTGTGGTGTATTGGTTTGGTTTTTTTTATTATTTTTTTTTTTTTTATATTGCCATTTCTTGCTGGTTGGTTTATTTTGGGGGAAGTGTTGAAACCCCAAACCTGTGCCCCTTGTCCCGCACAGAGAGGTGGCTCTTTGTGGAATTCCTTTTTTGTATCAGAAGCAACGGCAACAATAAAATTATTTTGGGTTAAGTGGGGCTGTGTCTTTGTGTGGGGACAGACGAGGGGGGCAGGACCCACCCAGCTCCAGCCTGGAGCTTCCATGGAGACAGAATTGAGATTGTCCGGCCTGGAGAAGCTCCAGGGAGATCTCAGAACCCTCCAGGGCCTGAGGGGGCTCCAGGAGAGCTGGAGAGGGGCTGGGGACAAGGGCTGGAGGGACAGGACACAGGGCATGGCTCCAAACTGGAACAGGGGAATTTGGGTGGGATATTGGGAAGGGATTCCTGGCTGGGAGGGGCTGGGATGGAATTCCCGGAGAAGCCGTGGATCCCAGGCCGGGCTGGGACAGAGGGGGTGGCCCTGCCATGGCAGGGGGGCACTGCAGGGGCTTGGCCGGGTCGGGCCGGTGGAGTCCGGCACGGACGCTCCTTCCAGGCCGATATTCCCGGTTTTTGGAAGCTCCTCCCGGCTCCCGGCGCAGACGGAGCCCGGTGCCAGCAGAGGGCGGGCGGGACTGCGGCACCCGCGGCCGGGAGAGAGGGGACAGCACCGGGAGAGAGAGGGGACAGCACCGGGAGAGAGAGGGGACAGCACCGGGAGCGGGGACAGCACCGGGAGAGACGGGACAGCACCGGGAGAGAGGGGACAACACCGGGGATGGGGAAACCGGAGCTGGGAAATGTCCCGGGAGCAGCTCCGTGGTGCCAGCGGGATTTGTGTCCGTGCTGGGACAGGACGAGGCCGGGCTGTGTCCCCGTGGTCACTCCTCAGCTCCTGGCAGTGCCTCCTCCAGGGGCGGCCCCCAGGATTTGGAGGGGCTCCGGTTCCCGTCCCGGGACGCGTCAAAGAGCGGAGCAGGAGCCGGCTGGGGTTGGCACGGTGCGGCTTTATTTCCATGGAGGGGTCGAGGTTCTCCCCCGGGGCTCAAATCCCTTCCTACAAATCCTCCCGCTGCCCTCCACGGGCTTTGGGAGCTCCCGCTCTCCCCCCGGAGCCAGGGGAGACAGGGAAGGGCCGGACACCCCCGGACACTGCGAGGCCACTCCGGCAGGGCCTGGGATGCCCGCGGGAGCTGCCGAGGAGCCTCTCCCGGGTGTTTTGTGGGGCCCGAGATCCGCGCTGGGGTCCCCAGGAGCGCCCCTCGCTCAGCCCGGCAGGGCCCGGGGGAAGGGGCAGCGCTCGGGGGGCTCCAGCCGCCGCTCCCGCTCGGGGGGCTCGGGACGGGCACACACGAGGAACGAAGCCGGCACTCGGCTGTGAGGAACCCCAGACGGACAGAGCTCAGCTACAGACACACACACACACACGCACTGCAGCACGGGCAGCACTCCCGGGGGGCGCGGGGGGCAGGAGGGCTCCGAGGGGTCAAAGCTCGGCTCCGGCACCGGGCAGAGCCCGGCCCAGGGGCCCCGCGGGCCGAGGGCAGGTCCCGCCATGCCCCGTCCCGGCCCCTCCTGCCCCTCGCGGTGCCCGGGGGCACGGGGGGCAGCGGGGAGCCTGAGCCTGGTCGGGCCCCGTCCCCCAGCGCCCCGCCAAGAGAACTGAGAAGTGCTTAGAAAAGAGAGAAACGCCTAGAAAACCTCCCCCGGGCTCGGCCCCGCGCCCGGAGCATCCCCGCGGGGCGGCACCGGGGGCGGGCGGGGCTCGGGCTCGCCCCGTGGCCACCTTCACACCAGGGCGTAATCGAACTGGCCCCGCTCCAAGCCCTCCTTGTGGTCCGTCCAGGAGGAGGCGGGCATGCGGCTGTAGGGGTCCAGCAGGATGCGGAAGCAGCGCACCATCAGCATCACCAGGAACACCAGCAGGAAGATGACGAAGGCGAAGACAGTTTTCTGCTCGGCATCCATGCCCGCGGAGCCCGCGGGGTGCTCCACCAGGGATGGCGAGAGCAGTTCATAATCCATGGTGGATGCATCATTCATGGCAGAGGCCGGGGGCTCCAGGGCACGGCGCCTTCGGGGCGGCCAACCTCAGCCTCCCGCTGTGCCCGGGCACCTGGAAAAGCGCCTATTCCATGGCCAACCCCTCGGGATCGGCTCCTGGCCCGGCCCAGAGCTCCTGGAGGGAGAAGCAGAGAGGGTGAGGGAGGGAGAATTGGCCACGGGGAGAGCAGGGATGGTGAGGGAGGAGGAATCGTGTGTGGGGGAGGCAGAGACGGTGAGGGAGCTGGAATTGGACGTGGAAAAACAGATGGTGAAGGAGAAGGAGCTGGATGTGGGGAAAGCAGAGATGGCTGGGGAGGAGGAACCGGCCACGAGATGCAGCAAGAGGAGCAGGGAAGGGCGGGGATGTTCACAGGGAATTCTGGAGTTTCTGGCAAGCCCAGGAAGCCACAAGGGTGGGCAGCTCCGGGGGCTGGGCCAGAGGCTGCTCCTCGGACCATAAATCCCCGGCAATCCCTGGAGACACCCGGGCCGGTGCTGAGGGACCCTTTGGAATCCCAAATCCCAGATAATTCCCACCAAAAAGGAGCTGTGGGGGCAGAGGGGCTGCTCAGGGCTCCTGGCCCAGGGCTGTGCCAAGATGGACACGAGGACGGGGGGGTCATTCCTGCCGGGAATTCGCGTCCAGCGGCCGCTTCGGAGCAGAGGGAGCGGAACGGGAGCACCCACCTGGCTGCGGCTGCGTGGGGACAGGAGCAGGGACAGGAGCAGGGACAGGCCGTGCCCACACGGCCCCGTCACCGAGGGAGCCTCGCCGGGGTCCGGCTGTCCAGGGCTTTGGAGAGAACAGGGACAGGGTTAGAGGGGCTGGGGGCACTGCAGGGAGAAATTCCCGGGACACCTCTGCAATTCCCAGCTCTGCAGTGGGGGGAGCTGACCCGGGAATATCCACACCAACATCCCGGGAATATCCACACCAGTATCCCTGGAACATCCACACCAATATCCCTGGAACATCCACACCAACCTCCCTGCAATATCCACACCATCCTCCCTGGAATATCCACACCAACATTCCTGGGAGAACATCCATGACAACCTCCCTGGGAAAACATCCACGTCATCCTCCCTGGGAGAACATTGACACCACCCCCTCAGGAGAACATCCACACCATCCTCCCTGGAATATCCACACCAACATCCCTGGAATATCCACACCAATATTCCCTTTCTGCATCCTGGAGCCTGAATTCAGGCTCCAGGAAAAAAACTCCAAAATCTCCCTGGGAGAGCTCAGGAGCATCCCCTGCCCTCCCTGGCAGTGATATCCAGTATCCAATATCCAAAATCCAGTATCCAATATCCTTGGGGAAGGCAGAGAAATCCCAAAGTCACCACTGGCCCTGTCCCCAAGTCCCACATCCATAAGATTTTCAATCCCTCCAGGAATGGGGGTTCCACTCCTGCCCTGGCAGCCGGGCCAGCCCTTTCCATGGAGGAATTCTTCCAATATCCATCCTCAGCCTCTCCTCATGGACATATTGGGTTAAAAATTCCCCTTCCTGGTGCTCAGGACAGCAATAAATCCCAGAGCTGGAGATGCCCAGCTGGCTCAGGGCCCAGGTCCGGGGAGGAACAGGCACAGTCAGGACAAAAGAGAAAAATTCCTGCTCATTTGGAACCCTGGTGTATCTACGTTATTAATATAAATTAGATATTGATATAGTTTATACAGTATATTAAATATTGTTTATCCTGGAGTATTCACGATAAAGGATTTATTCCCTTTTGGGATTTGTTGCCTTTTCATCGCTGTGGGAAGAACCAGAACAGGTTCCCAGAGCAGCTGGAGGTGTCCAAGGCCGGGCTGGAGCAGCCTGGGGTGGAGGAATTGGATGGAATTGGATGGAATTGGATGGATTTGGATGGATTTGGATGGATTTGGATGAGCTTTGAGGCCTTTCCAGCCCAACCCATTCCATGACTGCTCTGGATTTCCTGGGAATTTGGTGCAGAGCCCCATCCCTGCGCTCAGGCCCCTCGAAGGAGGCTGCTGTTATTTCAGGAACAGTTGATGGAGTTTTATTAAGATTTTATTCCTGTTCCCTTAGTAACTCAAAAGACACAGGCGAGGAAATTGCTTAATAGGGACAGAGCTCACAAAGGAGCAGGATCACTGTCAACAATTCCAGGAGGCTGTGCCCAGGTTTTTCTGGGAATGAGGCACGAATTAAATGTTAATTTGGGCACGGCAAATATCTAATGAGATGCTTATTTAGAACAAAGGAAGGAGTCAGCTCGGAGCCAGGCAGGATCCGCCTGGGATCCAGAGCAGGATCCAGCCGTGGGGTGGAAGGACCTAAAATCTCATCCAGAGCCAACCCCGACACCTCCCCCTGTCCCAGCCCGGCCTCGGGCACATCCCGGGATCCAGGGGCAGCCACAGCTGCTCTGGGAATTCCATCCCAGCCCCTCCCTCATCCTAAAAAATATCTCCCTCATTTCCACCCCAAATCTCCCCTCTTTTCCCTTGAACCATTACCCCACCCTCATCTCGCCCATAAGTGAAGCATTGGAAAATCTCCCTGGAGCGTTTTTCCCATGATTTTTGGTGCCCGAACTCCTCAAAGGTGGGGAAAGGTTGGGGGTCCCTCCCTGGGGGGGTCCCGGGGGATCCCTCCCTCCTTCCCTTCACCTCCACAGCGGGTCCCGGTGTCCGAGCCGTGTCCAGCGGGGCTGAGGCAGCTCCGTGCCCCTCTGGACCCCCCGGCGCTCCCCCCGGAGCCGCTGGAATCTCTGCTTTGCCTTTTTCAGTAAATGCTGCTGCTGGGACGGGCCCTGGCAGCCTCTGGAAACATCCAGGGGCTCTGCCAGGGAATCCTGAACTTCCAGCGGGATCAGAGCCCCGGGCAGGGGGGCTGTGCCCCGATCAGAGCAGGGTGGGGAGCTCCAGGAGGGCACGGAGCTGCTCCCGCTGATCCATGGGAACAAAACCAGGGCTGGGACAATCCCCATTTCCCTCTCTCCCTTTGCTGTTATCCCTGGAAATCTGCTCCTGCCTGTGCCCCTGCCCCGAGGGCTCCCCCTCTGTCCTGCCCCAGCACAGCCAGGAAGGAATCAACGTGTTCCCCATGTCAGGAATGCGATCCTCTGGGATCCGCTGGGATCCTCTGGGATCCCCTTCCCTGCTATCCCTGCCATGGACAGACCCTTCTTCCCACACTGTCCGTGCCCGGGGGATGCTGAGCTCCCCCCCCAGCCCTGTGGGACGAACAAAGGGATCCAGGATCCAGGAGCGATCCTGCCCCGAGCCTCGCCGGGATTCCCTGGATGTCCCCTCGCTTTCCAAACCCCGCTCCAGCTCGGGGCTGGCGGCTCCAGCACCTCCCGAGCCATGAGGATGCCGTGGGTGGCCTCTCCCAAGCTGGAATCCTGCCTGGATCCAGCGGTTTGGGGCAGACGGATCCAGGATCCAGGGAGATCCAAGCGGATCGGCCCCGGCTGTCCGGGATGTCCCGTTCGGGAGGGACGGGAGCAGCCCAGGGGGGGAGGCTCAGCCCAGCCCAGCCCAGCCCAGCCCAGCCCAGCCCGGGTGGATTTCCCCAAATCCCAGCCTCTGAGGCCCCCGATGCTCCCGGGGACGTTCTCCCGAAGCCATCGGAGCCCCAGGAAAGGCAGTTCCCACCCCAACCCCTCCTGCCCTCTCCAGCCAGCCTGGACACAGCTCCGGAACATTTCCCGGCTCCAGCCCCGAGCCCTCCCAGCCGAGCGGGCCGGGGGTCGCTGGCAGGGCAGCCCCGGCTCTGCTGCCCCGGGATGCGGTACCTGGCTGCCCTGGGATCCCGGCTCCATCCCCGGCCATCCCGGAGCTCCCGGGGAAGCGGCCGCCGCTCGCCGCCGCCGGAGCGGGTTCCTATGGCGATGCGGAATCGATTAGAATAAAAGGTGGAGCGCAGCAATTGGAGCCGGGAGAAGTTTCCTGAGGCGCCTGCCTGGGAAAACCGGGAGTGCCCGGGGCTGGGGGGCTGAGCTGCGCCCCCCGGCCCGGCTCCTCATCCCTGTGCTCCCAAAAAACCCCCTCCCATCCCCCGGGAAGCACCTGCATCCCATAAACCTCTCCAAATCCCTGGGCAGTTCCACCTGTGCCCCCCAAATCCCTCCTGATCCCCGGGCAGCTCCTGCACCCCGGGATCCCCAAATCCCCCCGATCCCCGGGCAGCTCCTGCACCCCCGGGATCCAGAACTGTCCCCGTCTGTCCGTGTCTGTCCAGGGATGCTCCAGGATTCCCAGGCAGGGACCAGGATGGGCCCCAGGGACACACGGGGCTCACACGTGGCAGCACCCGGGCCCCTTCCCAGCCCAGGCCCCACAGGGATGCAAAGTGCTGCACCTCCAGTGCCCCTTTCCCACAGGGAAAAATCCTTGGAAACACTTGGGAACAGGCACGGGTTTTGCAGCTCGGTTCTGATGGAACTGGGGTTTCTGGGAGGTGCCCAGGGGAGTTTTCCACACTCCAGCAGCGCAGGGAACGCTCGGTGCCCGGGGCACAGGGCAGCCTCAGCAGGGGCAAATTAAAATTGCTTTGCTCATCCTCCCTGGCAGGCCTGGGAGGGAATGGATGAACAATTCCTGAAGGTCTGGAGTGAGCCTGGGGTGGCTGCCCTGGCAGTTCTCAGAGTTCCTCTGGAGAAATACATCCTCTGTCCCCGTCCCCAAATCCCAAATGTGGCCACGGGGTCCCTCAATGCCTCCCCACCCATCCATCATCCATCATCCATCCATCATCCATCACCCATCATCCATCCATCCATCCATCATCCATCCATCCATCCATCCATCATCCATCATCCATCCATCATCCATCCATCCATCCATCCCCCACACATCATCCACACATCATCCATCATCCATC